GCTACTAAGTGGCTCCTAGAACTGAAATGCAAGAGCTACGAGGAGAAGTTAGAGGCATTAAATATGCCAAAACTAGAAGACAAGAATGCTAAAGCTAATGCTAATGGCAAAATGCTAAAGAAATTGTTCAAGACTTCTGTTAGGCCAAAGCTAGAATATGCAGCAATTGTATGGTGCCCATATCTTAAGCAGCACATCAACAAACTAGAAAAGGTGCAAAGACAAGCCACTAAGTGGCTCCCAGAACTGAAGGGCAAGAGGTTAGAGGCATTAAAAATGCCAAAACTAGAAGATAGAAAAAGAGGCCATATGATCACCATGTACAAAATAGTAACAGGAATCGATAAAATTGATAGGGAAGAATTCCTGAGATCTGGAACTTAAGGAACAGGAGGTCATAGATTTAAATTAAGTAAACAAAGCTGCCAAAGGAATATAAGAATATTCACTTTCGCAAACAGAGTGGTAGACGGTTGGAACAAGTTTAATGAGATGGTGGCAGAGGCTAAAATGGTCAGTAATTTCAAAGCATTATATGACAGTGCTGGGTAGACGGGACACCACGAGTGTAGCTCTCATCCTGTAACTACACTCGGGTAATTACCAGCAGATTGATAGTTGAGGCTTGGGATCAAAGAGCTGAAGCTCAACCCTTGCAAGGACAAATAGGGAAGTATGCACATACACACACATTAGGCTTATGTTGAGCGGCTTGATCCCCCAAGGTCACACTACTGACCCCTCTTAAAATGCAACCCCCATAACAGTTCACTAACTCCCAGCTACCAATTTACTGTTAGGTGAACAGAGGTACTAAGTGAAAATTAATGTGCCGAGCCACTTGTCTCATCCGGGATTTGAACCTGGGATTCTCAATTGAATCGAGACTTAATCCAACTGTACTACAGACCCTTAAATGGTAATGATAATGCAAAGCCCAAACGTTTCCCACGCCTCAGGGTATGGAATCGCCAAGATTTGGTTACGTACATAAGAACCATTTCGTGTGTGTGTTAGCTTGCATTAATTATAAAAAAATGGAACCCTCTAGTAGATTGAAAAAGTAAAATACCTAGCATTTGTGGTGTCCCGTACTCGGGAACAGGAATCCTTTTAGGTGTATCAAAGTCCCTCTAAACAGTATTGATCTTCCCTAGCATGCAACCCACAACAGGTGCCTAACTCTTGGGTATCAATTTACTGCTACGTGAATAGACATAAGGTAAAAGGAAATGTTGACCAAATTTTTCTGTCCTGCTACAGGAATTGAATTGGGGACCTTCCAGCTGTGACTTGATTATGCATTCCACTGCACCTAGTATGGTACATGCTGTATTACTGGACAAAATTATACATAAAATTGTGTTAGGCCTAGAATTGATTGTTAGGTTTGCGGGTAGTATGTTTCAGTTTTTGATATGCCCTTTAGAATTCCAATACAATATTGCAAAACTCTGACTATCTTTGGCTACAATGGTCCATATTTTGTACATTCCTTTCTTATCTATAGGTGCTACATTTTTTGGAAGATGGATTTGATTTGTGACTGAAAGTCACTGAAAGTTCTAAAGTAGGGAGCTGCAGTAAAAAAAAGCCTACCAAACATTAGGAGTAATTAAACAAACCTTTGACTTTGGAGGAAAATAGTGGCCATTCCGTTATATTAAACTAATCTCTATTGCACCTCCATTTGGTTTGCTGCATCCAAGCTTGGAGACTTGCCTACAAAAGGAGGTAACTGCTTTGTAAAAAGTTTAGCTCGGTGATAAAAATCATCCCAGAATTAAATCTACACCAGGAAGGGTTGAGGGCTTCAGGATTAACATTATTGTACTACTGTACAAAATAGACATAAGGCTGATCTCGGAGTCTTAAATTTCTGAACAATTAAGATGTTAATTTTAATCTAACTTACAGTACACTGCTACTTTCAAAGGCCCAGTGTAACTCTAAAGAGGTCGGAGGTCAGCTGAATAAGTATAACAATCATCAATGTAGGACCGAAAACAACGTTTTACACTTTTCACCTATTGTGTAATGTACCTAAGGAATTGCCTAAAAAACAGCACTCCGGTACAAAATTCAGCTGGAAAAAAATCCTAGAAATAATGGAGTGGTGACATAAGCAACTGGCGCTTTATTCCTGGATAGTCCACTACAACTGGTTGCCATTTGGTAAATCGAGGGTTTCCATAAGCAGTAGAATTTGAAATACAGTACAGTACTGTATAATAATATATATAATATAATAATAATATTATAAATAAATAATATTACTTATAAATATATTATAAATATAATATTACTCTGGTAATAAATATAGAAATGTCAGTGATGCAATTTTACTGAGAAGTAAGCTAACATTTTAATGACGAATCTGATAATAGCTTGTGAGCTGGTGCTCAATTGTATTACTGTTCAGTACTGTATTAGCATACAGGGATACTCGTAAATCATACACATGCATTTCTACAAAGCTTGTTTTGTTAAAACTGTATATTGTATATCATTAGGCTGGCCAGGACAGGTTTTAAAATCTGCAGTCTTGAATATGATGACCCATATTCACACATGGCTGCGTGATTCATCCTCTACTCTCAATTGAGGATCCTGAGTTTGATGCCAAGGTGCAGCAGAAATGGTTGGGCACGTTTCCTTTCACCTGGTGTCTCTGGGTCATTCCATGCCAAATCATCACAGATCCCAACCTGACTGTCTCAAATTTTCATGAAATTTGGTAAAGATGTAGAGTACATGATGTTACATGTGCAAAATTTTAGTAATCATAACTCATGATATACACACAGCAGGGTTGTCAGCGTGATAAACAAATACACCATTTTTGGCTTACAAAACTCAACAAAAAAATAATCATAACTCTTCATGTTAGGCTGGCTTTGAAGCTAAGTAAACATTAAAACCACTTTTATATTGAATATTTTTAATTTCAAGATCACATGAAGACCATTGATCTTGAATATATAAAAATTATATTATAAATTATTATAAACATCTCTTAATTTATGCAGGGGAAAAATGTTTTAGTGAAATGTTTGGTTCAAGTTTCATTTTGGGATGGCTTTGGTAACAGGATTAAATATAAAGTATAGGTATGTAATAGTTCTTACATTACATTTTTGTAACGCCACTAGCATGCACAGCATTTCAGGCAGGTTCTTAATCTTAATTTTCCTTGGAATTTGACCTGCCAGTCGTTTAAATAACCAGGTACCCATTTATGGCTGGGTGAACAGAGGCGTACAGTTAAGGATTGGCACCTAGTCAATCCTTCCCGGCCAGGATACAAACCCAGGCCAAATCGCTTTCGAAACATGGAGCAAGTGTCTTATCACTGCACCATGGGGGACTGCTCCATAAACACTTCTTGCACCAAACTTGCATCAAGCAAGTTCTGACTTCTGATAGGCTTTGTATTTCTCAGCAAGGGTTACCAATTTAGCTCTTTAGAGGTAAATTTAGATCTTTTGTACCCTTAGCATCAGTTGATTCCAACCCCTCCTCCGAATAGACAGTACGTTTTAATTTAAAGGTAAAAGGTAATAAGTACAATTCTGACTACCGGCTTAGTACATAAATACACTTAATCACCAGAATCGCACCAAAATATTGTGAATATTAGAGTTTACCTGAAAAGCTGTATTGAAAACCACGACCTTACCTAATCATCTTAGTGTAGGAGGACAAGCATTTTATTGCTTCTTAATTACAATTAGTACTTAACCTATAGCTATATTGATACAGTATTATTGTACAGTTTTATAAAACTAATGTACATAACTAAATTCTTTCAATAAATTTGTAACGTAACTCAGGATATTTTCAAATTTTGTGTAAAATCTCTATTGTTTAATAAAACTGAAAAAGAAATTCATTATATTTAAAACTTGTGTATATAGAATTGAACATGAAAACTTCATCCTAAAATTTTGAGTCTCAACAGAAAATGAGGAGAATTGTTTGTTTATTTATTTATTTATTTATTTATTTATATATATACATAAAAGAAGGTACATTGGGATTGTGAGGATACATAGCATAGTAATTAGTCTTGTAAAGCCACTAGTACGCACAGCGTTTCGGGCAGAAAATATATAGGTAGGTAAATATAACGGCACAATTAAGTGTGTGTATGTACTATGTAGACAGTAAGGAATGTACTTATTATATTTAGTATTAAAACGTACTGTCTAATCAGAGGATGCGTTGGTTGATTCACATGTAGCTTCAACTTTTAATTTTTAGTGCTAAGTTGATAGTGTGGCAATGGATATGAAGTACTGTATATAAATACAGTTGAGGAAGGTGTTACCATGATTTAAAAACTACTACTTGTGAGAAGCAGATACTGTAAATATGTGACAACTATAGGAAAGAAATTTAAATAGCTTCTGTTAGTGAACAGAACACAAACTGTGTGTGTGTGTCAACAAGAAATAATGGAGAATAAGTTGTTACACAGATGACACGAAGCTAGGCACCTGGAACTCAAACATTTGAAGCTTTTATAACAGGAACAAGGAATTAATAAGAGGTTTTCTTCAGAACCAACTAGTGAAGTACAGCTACCAAATATTCCACAGAAAACTGTCATGGGAAGAAATAAAAAGATTGTAACTTGCATCTATAACGATGCCTTGTGGTTAGGTTGTCATGTACAGTAAATGCAGCGTCACTAGTGTTTTGCATCCTTAACCTGTTTCCTTTGAAATTGTGCGCTGTTCAACAACAAAAGAATTGTATTTTCTAAAGCTCATCAACCACAGAAATGATTTCTATTTACTGTATCTTATAAACAATTATAAAATTGAGTGTCATAACATTTAATTAACATAATAAAGGGCAGTGTATTGTCTCACTGTATCTAATTACAGATATGACCCCCATGTAATATATTTGCCACTGCTATGCCTTGCCTGGTATGTCTTCTATCCCTTCTTCTTTTTCACATGCCAGTTCCTTAAACGTGTCCTGAATTGCAGGTTTCTATGGTCGACCATGGACACCGGAACAAAGAAAGGATCTCTTTGCAAAGTAAGTCTGTTTTCTTTTGAATATTTAGATAAAAAATTACACTAAAGGTGGGTGAATTATTCAACATTTTGAGAGCTGTTGGCTATTTGATATACATTATTCTAATGTACATTATTCTAATGTACAATAACATTTTATTATCCCTATTACACAAACCAGGTATTGTATCTTGCATCCCACCTTCATGTGGAATTATTTTACATTGCAGATTTGAAGACAGACTCTACAGCTTTTTCCAGGTATAGATTATGATGTATATCTCACGTGCACTCTTGGAATATATTTGAAGGGCTTTTAGATGCTCCAAACCATTTATTGGCCATACCCAGAAATCCTTAGGGCAACTATAGCTGATGGTCTAATTGTTTTTATTATTAATCACTTTTAGGAATAGTTTGTGGTTTTCACAGGCTTATTATTTGTAGTGTACTTCAGTTTTGGTTGGTTAAAATATCTAACGCTAACAATCTATTTGATACACTTCTTGGGTAATAAACCATTTTGTCCTGATCATTGTGGTAGCCATCTACGCAAGCTTAAATTAAAGGAAGGAATCAGGAATTACATATTTAAAACTATTCTTTAATGGTTTATAGTTATAATTGGTCTATGAAGTTTTTAGTAAATCCGTTTATACAAAGGGAACTTAGTAGTATTCAGTCACTGGCCATTATAATTATCAATTATATACTTTATAATAAATATTTATACACATTGTGTATCAGGTGAAATTGTTGTTGCAAAACTAGGTTGATAACACTGATACCAATACATTGGTATTCCTCTAATTTTACAATTCTGTATAGTATATGTACAATGGGAATGGGATTGCATTTTTTTGGTCAATTATTCATAATGTCTGTATTGTGAGATAAGCAAATCATAGGGCCCAGTAATATCTCCCTTGATCAGCTGTACTGTCTACCCTTGTAATTACCTAAGTGTAGTTGCAGGATGAGAGCTATGCTCGTGGTGTCCCGTCTTCCCAACACTCTTTGTCATATAACAACAGGATGTTGATTGTGCGTGTGCCCCCGTGTTAAATAAGTTGTCTTTATCTACTCTATCAATTCCTCTGGGTACAGTATCTTGTATGTGGTGATCCCCTAACTTCTTTGCTTCCAGCGACGTGAGGTTTGGTTCCCGTAGTTTCTCCTCATAGCTCATACCCCTTAGCTCAGGTACTAGTCTTGTGGCATATCTCTGAACCTTCTCCAATTTAGTCTTGTGCTTGATGAGATATTGACTCCATGTTGGAGCTACATACTCCAGGATTGGTCTAACATGTGTTGTGTAAAAGGTTTCTGAATGATTCCTTAAAGAAGTTTCAAAAGGCTGTTGTTATGTTGGCCAACCTGACATATGCCACTGATGATATCCTCTTGGTGTGGGCTTCTGGAGACAGATCTGGCATCATATCAACCCCCAGGTCTTTCTCACTTTCTGATTCTTGAAGAATTTCATGTCCCAAATGGTACCTTGTATCTGACCTGCTCCCTACACCTATTTTCATTACATTTGCTTGGGTTAAACTATAAAAGCCATTTGTTGGACCATTCCTTCAGTTTGTCCAGGTCATCTTGATGCCTCGTACTGTCCTGTCTTAATCCTTTTCATAATTTTGGCATTGTTGACAAACAGGACAGGATAGGACCGAGTACAGAACCCTGTGACTCCACTGGTGACTTCGTGCCATTCTGAAGTCTAATCCCTCTCAATAATTCTCTGCTTCCTATTACTTAGGTATGCCCATATCCACTGGAGTACCCTACCAGTTACTCTTGCTTGTTTCTCCAACTTACGCACGAGCCTCTTATTGGAGTACTATGTCAAAGGCTTTCTGACAGTCCAAGAAAATGCAGTCTGCCCACCCTTCTCTTTCTTGCTTAATCTTTGTCACCTGGTTGTATAATTGTATTAAATCTCTAAGGCAAGATTTGCCATCCTTGAACCCATGTTGGTGGTATGTCATGAAATCCCTTCTCTCCAGATGGCCCTACTAGGTTTTTCTCATGATCTCCATCACCTTGTATGGTGTACAAGTTAGGGGCACTGGCGCATAGTTCAGTGCCTCTTGCCTGTCCCCCTTTTTGTATATTAAGACTACATTAGTTGACTTCCATATTTCTGGTAGGTCTCCTGTCTCCAGTGACTTAATATATACCATAGTGTGTTGTGCAAGGTGCTTTTGCACTCTTTTAGCACCATGGTGAGATTCTGTTTGGTCCAACAGCCTTTCTCATGTCCAGATCCAACAGAAGCCTCTTAATCTCATCTCTTGTAATTTCAAACCCTTTCAAGCTACCTGGTTTACTGCCACCTCTCCTACTTCAAGAACTTTTCCTCGTTCCATTGTGAAGACCACCTGGAATCTCGTCGAGTTCTTCGTACACCTCTTCGTCATTTTCTCCATACCAGTCTTCATCTGTTCTTTCACAATTGTTTTCCTCCTGATGAGACTGTGGAGCAGCTTTGGTTTGGTCTTGGCTTCATTTGTTGTTATTTTCATACTGTCTCTGCCTTTCTTCTCACACTGACATGATCATTTCTGGCTCTCTGGTATCTTTCTCTGCTCTCCGGTGTTTTGTAACTACCTAAGTGTAGTTACAGGATGAGAGCTACGCTCGTGGTGTCCCGTCTTCCCAGCACTCGTTGTCATATAACGCTTTAAAATTCTGATGGTTTTGGACTCCACCACCACCTCACCTAACTTGTTCCAACTGTCTACCACTCTGTTTACAAAAGTGAATTTTCTTATATTTCTCCGGGAGCTTTGTTTCGTTAGTTTAACCCTTAAACTGCGCAACACATCATATGATGTGTTGAGTAACTTGCTATAAATTGCGCATCACATCATATGATTTATTGGAGTACTACGCAAGATTTAAATGGCCTGCGGATACACGGGGTTCACCTCACCTTCATCAGGGCTCTTGTAAACAGATGCTATTTATAAAAAATCGTGGGCAACATTCCCGGGTGTTAGGACCTCAGTACTGAGTGAGCCACCAAGGCTGGTGCACTGAGCTCACAGCACTGCTGTGCTTCTTGTGACCACAGCATCGCCTAAAAATGTCAAAATATGTAAGTACATACTATTATTTAGTGATGATAGTATTACAGAAGACCCCTGACTGTGATAAAAATGTCCAGGGTTCTGATAATAGCAGGATTGTTGTGATAATTAGCACTGTAGTGGGAGGAGTAATCTTGGTGGAGAGGGAGGTAGCATTGTCTGCTGACTCTGTGTAACTACCTTGTACTGTCTGGACTTACTATACCAGCTTAGTCTTTTGCTATGGTGAACAAAACATGCAAATACTTGTATATAATGTCTGTATATAGTGAATAAAAGCAAAAAACATTATGGTGGGAAGAGAAGGTTGGCAAGTCAGGTGAGATGAGGTAGGGAGGGAGTGGCAGCCAGTGGCGGGCTAGCTGGTGTCTGGTGGTCACTCCTTGCAGCTGTTTGACTCAACATACTAACTTAGTGATTCCTTATGGTGAACACAAATGTAGATACTTATATATAACATGTATATGTAGTGTAATGACAGCAAAAGGAGTTTTGAGAAGCCATTTTGGTGAGGGAGGTGGCGACATCTGCATGATTTGTCATACTGGGTAAGGGTGGCTACTACTATATAAGCAACAAGGAGAAAGATAAGGGCAATACCGAGAATGAATGCAGAAACGAGAAAGTTGGAACAAAAAACACAGAGGTAGCAAAGTCGTGCACGGGTACAAACAAGAATAATACAATCACAGATGAAAATATTTGCAGGTATTATGCAAAAGGACAGTGCAGATATGGGCCAAGAGGCACGGAATGCTCATTCATGCACCCACGGAAATGCCAAAACTGGTTAGGGAAAGACAGATGTCGTTTTGATAGTGTAGATATGTTCACCCTAAGCTATGCAAACTCCCAGTTAATGAGAGGAAATGCTACGATCTTCATTGCCCTGATTTCCACGTCAGAGGTACACAGCGCTATATAAGAGAGGAAGTCCAATATAATGGCCCTGAAATTTTTTTAGAGGCAGGCACAAACAGGGAGAAACAGACAAGCTGAAACGTGGCAGGAGTACGGATGGAGAGGGGGGGAAATGCCCAAAACTGGACTACGGTTTGTCATCAAGCCCACACATACTACACCCCCCAACTACACAGAGACTACCACACTCCCCAGTATCACTTCCAAAACTGGACAAACCATTGCCACAACAACACACCCTGGGTCAGGGTAGAGAGGAGGGAGAACTACCAAAACCTTCCAGAAGTGACACAATATGGACAATCATTCATATTTGCAAACATTCAAGGTTTAAAGCCAAAGTCAAGAAATAAAGTTAAGTTCATAAATGGCCTCCTATTAGAGTCAAACTCAATATTTGGGGCATTCACGGAAACTCATACAAAAGATTACATGGATGGTGAAATCTGGATTCCAAATTATAATTTATATAGATGTGATAGAAAAACTAGGTCAAATGGAGGAGTAGGTCTGTATATTAAAGAAGAACTGGTATGCACAGAACTACTAAACTCAACTAATGAGGTGGTAGAGGTACTTGGAATTAAGGTAGAGAAACTAAACCTAATTATTATTCTAATATATAAACCGCCAGATACAACGGTTGAGGAATTCACAGAGCAGATGCACAAAATAGAGAACATACTTGATAACCTAGCAAACCCAGCTCCAGGTATTATCTTCCTTGGAAATTTCAATTTACTGAGTCTAAAATAGAGAATGGCAAATACAAATATCATAGCAGGGAATGACCCGGGAAATAACCAACCACAGGTCAGAGAACTTTTGAGATTCTGTGACAAATTCTCGCTCAATCAACAGATTACAGAGCCAACTAGGAATGAAAACACACTAGACTTGCTATTCACAAACAATGATGAACTAATCAGAGACATCACAATCTCAGATACTTCATACTTGGACCATAAGCTCATTGAAATGCGAACTAGCATAAATAATGGTA